TCTTTAGAAAACCCCGTGGTCCCTAACACAATGCTGGGCACCCAGCCAAAACTTGTTGATTTCACAAGGAAAGTGGTTGAGTTTTTTGTAATGTGGCCATCTTGGCAAATGACAGGGCCCTCCACAACTCTGCTTCCACATCTGCAAAGAGTTTAACCATCCCAGGGTTGCTGTAAAGATAATGATGATTTGAGTAAGGACACTTTCCAGCTTCTTCCCACTTCCTCCCCTTTCGTTCTTTAATTCTAGACAGTGAGTCTTAAGCCAGGAGAGAAGATATGCAGTCAGGAAAAGTGAGATTGACTTTCTGGCTAGCTTTACAGCTGAGCCCCCTCCCTCGTTTGTTCTAAGAGAATGTTCCAGGCAGTCGGTCAAATTATTTGGGGAATGGGATGCTTATGGGATGAAACAACAACAAAAAAATCAAGCCAGAAGACATCCAGTTTCCTGCAGCAAGGTCAGAAATAAAAAGAAGGAAGAGGTGGAGGGCAAGGGAAACTGGAGTCTGGAGTCCTTTGAATGCTATTTTTTTTTTTTTTTTTGGCAAGTGAAACAAATACTTTTGTAAACATATCTCAGAAAGCTCTATGTATACAGTCCCTCATATCTTGGTATCTTAGTTCCTACTATTAATTTAAACTCTTCTGAATCAAATTTACCCTTCTGAGTCTTGGGGCAGCAAAGCTTACACTCACACATCTGTTTGATTTAAAGGTAAAGATCTCCCCATTTTTGTTTCTTCTATTGCAATTTTCGACAATTTTAGCGGCATGCATAAGATTCTAAGGACAAAACCACAATCTCTTCACCAATTTTGATTCTGGCCTCAGTAGCCTAAGGAACTGACTTGGCCTAGAAAGCTGAGGCCAATTGTGCAAAACCCAGAGCCTCCGGTGGTTTCTCGACAGCAGTTAGATGAAAAAAATACCAGAGATAGTCACTAGATGGCCCTCTTGTGTCTCTAAAGGGCTCGAGGAGGCGGGGCTCCCTTCAGGATTGAAGTAAACGGAAGCTAAAATGAACAGAACTTTTTGTTTTTATTATCTACATGCAAATGCTTTTATTCAGCTAGCTAATAAATTCCTGATAATGAAGGTGGTTTGGGGCCCCTCGTTTAGTTAATAGCTTTGGTGGAATGCAATAATCTCGAGTATATATTAGGGGAAAAAAACGAGTCAGAAAGCAAAGGGTGTTCGGATTATCTATAGACAGAGTGGGGGATGGAAGAACTATTGTGTGCGGGGGGGGGGGGGTTGTAACTATCACTGTGAGCTTGAGGGTGGAGGAGGTGCTGGGAAAGAAGGGAAGCAGATCCGTACGCCCCCTGCCTCTCTCAGCATTTGGTCTTCTGTAAAAGCAGTTTGGTAACTGAAAGTACTTTGGTGCTCTGCTTGGAATAAGAGGGGTGCCTGGAATGTGAGCAGCGAGCAGGAAGCCGGGGAAATGGTGCCATTGCGTTAGTGAAGGGGTTTGTCTTTGCAAAGGCAGAACATGTCTTTCCAATGTGATTGCAATTACAGAGGTAATGACATTCTACATGAATTGAATTCTCCTATTTATCTTTAAAAAGACAGCAGCATATAGACATTCTATTAGCACTCCCTAAGGTAAGAAGGTCCGCAGTCTTCATAGCTTGTTGTGTGCATCTTTTCGGATACCACGGCAATGTTAATCATTTTACCTGAGTAATTCTTCCATTTCTCATTACCTGGGGGATTGTTAATGGCCGAGACTACTTCTCAGACTCTTTGCTCCCGCTCAATCAAGCCGTGGAGGCGCCAGTTTACTTTTATTGATCAGCGGGTTCCTGACAGCCTTCGCCACAAGGAAGCAGCATCATCCTTTTTTAACTTAAAGGGGAACAGATCGCCTTAAAGTTTACAGCTAAGAGCTTCTAAGCATAGCATGCAAACATTTTAGCATGCTGCTAATTGTTCTGTTTAAATAGTTCCAGCAATATTTTAGAAAGCTGCCAAACACGGAACTCACATCCCGTGATCAGACAGCAAACCCATTTCAAATGCCTTTTAAGACCTTTTTAATTAGACCAAGCTGCACTTCATTCCCACTCGCTGACATCAAAGGTAAATAACTATGATAAATCAAATGGAACCCTTCCTTTAGCAGCCCACGAGGTGAGCCCTCACTGCTGCCATGTTGCCATTCTCTTCCGCTACTTGCCCATTTCTCTAACGGTGTCTGCAGAAAACCAGGCGGGCGGCGGGACTCCCTGAAGTCACCGTCTCTGCCGTCTACCCGCAGTTCTAAATGATCAAAATGAAATGATTCTCACTGCAGATACCTCGGTTTTTCTCTCTGATGTTCAGGGCTGAATTACATTCTAATGTGAAGCAACCCCCACGAGGCAAGCGGGTCCGGCGCTTTCCCCTTGGCCTTGGCTACACTTTCAGAGGGTCCGATCTCAACCTCACTGACAAAATAATTCCCTTTTGTGGAAGGAAGCTTTTTTCCCCCACTCCACGACAAAGTAAAGGCTGCTAAACTAGCTCCTTTTGGATGATATATTCTTTTAAGCAGCTGGGTTGCTCTCAGAAAGAAGATGGCAGTTCTGAAAAAAAAATCCATTATGTGTCCAAACGTGTTTTTTCCTATTCTTGTTTAATGTTTTTTAAACGGCAAAAGCGAGTCTCATTTTGAGCCCTCAGGTTCGGGCCAAAGTCGCTGAGCTAATTATGAGTTTGTTCAACTGAGACGCTCAAATAATAGAGACTACCAACTCAGAAGGTTTGCTCTTCCAGAACTGTGAATTAGAAGCTCTTCCAGTCCTCAATCTGTAAATTCTAAAGAAACAGGGAAAAAAAATGTTCATCGAGGGCGCTTTTTTCCCCCTCTCACAGCTCGTGATCTTAATTAAGAGCCTTAGATTTGGGCAGGAAGGAGTCCCCCTCTGTCTCTAGTGTGCCTTTGGTTCAGAAGCAGCCTAAGCTTGATGTCAACCCTGTCCACGCCGGCCTCCCGTTTCCCAGCATTGGCAGACGCCACAGCTGCCATTGCTGCCCAAAGGGAACTGGTAGCCAACCCCCCCCCCCCCCCCGCCCCAGAGAGACCAGGCCCCAGGGGAAGGCTGAGCGCCCACTGCACCAGGGCGGGCTCACAGTTGCCAGGGACCTCGGCTGGCGCTCCCACTCCACAGCTTCTATCCGGATCCAGGCTCTACTGGCGCGGTGCGGAGCGGCGCGGCCGCGTCCGCTCCGCTGGATTTCTCAAACGTAGTTTATTTATAGGGAGCTAAATTATCCGATAGGGTTGGGTGAGGGGCGAGAAAATGTACTCTGAAACCTTGGAGACTCATTTTTTGAGTCACCGATCCCATTTGATTAAGTAGAGACCTGAGTGAGCCGGACCGGACCAACATCCCCCCCCTCCGTCCCCCCCTCCCGTGTGTGTGTGTGTGTGTGTGTGTGTGTGTGTGTGTGTGTGTGTTGAGGTGTTCTGGGGAGTGCGGCATCTTCCCAGTGAGGGATAATGGTTTGGGTGGATGGCGGCCTTGCTCTTGGCAAAAGTGAAGACACACTGGCCAAGAGCTTGATGAATGACCATCGCGGGGGCGCTTGCTCCTCTTTTTTCCCCCCACTACCCGAGAATAAGAGAAAACAGAAACAGAAATGCAGAACGGTGAGACAAAGGAGAGAGAAAGAGAGACAGGGGGAAGAGAATGTTGCATTTAAGATATGAAGATACGATACATGAGGGAGATAAACAGCAAGAAAATCAAATCCTCATTTTTTTCCTGTAATCTCTGCAAACAAGAGATGCAAGAGGCGCTCAGTACTTAGGTGGACTCAGCTTCAATGGGAGCACTCCTCATGTCCGGTCCACCCTCCCTTCCTAACTCCGCTTGTCCCGCGCCAGTCAGGCCTCCCCCGACTCCCGCAAGGGCTCTGCGGGGCAGGGTACTCTACTCGGTTGGGCCGGTGTGTAAGTTTCCGCTTGGCCCCGCCTCCCCTCCCCCTCCTCCGCCCCTCCCCACGCCTTGGTCCCGCCCCAAGACCGGAGCCCGCTGAGCTGCGCGCTGATTGGCTAGTGCCTGGCGTAGCCGGGTTCGGCAGCTCGGGCTCTCTCTAGCTCTCTCCAGACTCCGCGGCCAGTAGTTTGCGGCAGCAGGAGGAGGAGCAGCAACAGCAGCAGTAGCGGCGGCGACTGGCTCAGAGGGGAGACGGACGAGCCGGCGCAGACGGCAGCACCAGCTACCGTTCACCATGCCTGGCTTGCCCGGGGGACGCTGGCATCCACTTCCCTAGCCCCTTGCCGGCGGGCGGTGCGCTGTCCTCTCCGGTGGCATTCCAGCTGAGCCGATTCATCTGAGATCCAACCTCCCACCCCACTCCCATTTCTTCCTGCTCTCTCCTACTCCACACTCACACTTCCCATCCACACACTCACTCTTCCTCCTTTTGGCACATCCACGCACAGCCCAGCTCAGATAGACAGACCTCCCTAGCGCGCGAGCGCCGGGGAGGGCGGAAGCCCTAAGCGGGGCGGACAGACGGACAGTGCTTCTCCTGGAGGATGGGATCCAGACGCTCCCGCAAGTAAAGTTTGGAGGCGTCAGAAACCGTCGACCCTGGCAGCTGCAGAGGCGGACCCCAGCGACATGCAACTGAACTAAGGAGGGCTTCCTTTGGCGGTGGCGGCGGCAGCAGCAGCAGCAGCAGCAGCGGAGGCGGCAGCGGCGGCGGCGGTCCTTGGTGCGACACCCCAACCCAAACCTGGAGAGGCGAAGAAGCCCCGGGTGTCCGCAGCTGCAGCCCCGCCTCTTCTAGCCGGTACTGTAGTAGCTTCTCTTCCTCACCTTCCCATTCCCGTACCCTCCCCCCAGGGCAATTGGAAAGAGCAGGACTTTGATTTTCTTGGACAAATTGCCATCTTCCCATTTTCATAAACTTGAGGCGGAGGCCTGGGCTGCGTTGGTAACTTTGATTTCCGAGATATAAACGCCCATAGCCCATCAACCGCTCTGTGGGAGGAGCCCTGTGGCCACCTCGGATCCTGGGCGGACGCGCCCCCCACGCCCTCGGACGCCAACCTCAGCCCTAGAGAGAGCACTCTCTCGCATCTCTCCCTTCCCCCTTCCTTTGCCCGCTCCGGGACAGCCCTCCAGCTCAGGCAAATCCCCAGGCGCCCAAGGAGCTTGCCAGCAACTCAGACTTCTACCTACGATCCTCCCCCCCGCCCTTTTCTTTCCAACAGGCCTGGAAGAGGCCAGAGTGCCCCCCCCCCCAGTCCGGAGGGCGCGTACCGGGCGGGAGCTCCCTCCGCAGTGAGCTGGGCGCGCTGGGGGGAGGTCCTTGCGCATGCCAGGTGCATAGACTACGCGCTCGCCTGCCCCAGTGCTGGTGCGCAACGGCTGGTCGGGCAGTGCCTGAAAGGCTGCGCTCCAACAGCCTTAGGCGTCCGCGCTCCAAGTACGGTCCCGACTCTGAAGCTTGTGGCCGTCTGGGGCGTGCAAGCGCCACTCGACCCGCAGCCCTGCTCCGCTGCGGCCAGTCGCGTTCGGCTAACTTTGAAGGGGTAAAACTGAGTAGCCGGGCTGGAGGGAGGGGGCTCGGGGCCGTGCGGCGCTCTCTTGGCCCCTCGGAGCCCCCGGGCCCCCAGAAAGCCGCTGCCGAGTCCACTACGACCTCAGCATTGGAGCCCGCACGGGTTCATCCTGTGCGCCGCCGGGCTGCCCTGGGCGGGACTCCTCCCGCGGCCTCCGGGGCCACGGGGCGCGCGCAACAGGCGGCCCGAGCCGGCGGGAAGCTGGAGCGCCGGCGGCGACGGCCTCGGAGGGGTGTGGAGAGGCGAGGCCGGGCAGAGCCCCGCGCAGCCATGGAGTCCCTCTTCCTGCCGATGCTACTGCTGCTGGCAGTCCTGTGGACGCAGGCGGCCGCCCTGATTAACCTTAAATACTCAGTAGAAGAGGAGCAGCGCGCCGGGACGGTGATCGCTAACGTGGCCAAGGACGCGCGGGAGGCAGGCTTCGCGATGGATCCGCGGCAAGCTTCTACGTTCCGTGTGGTGTCCAACTCAGCTCCGCACCTGGTGGACATCAACCCCAGCTCAGGTCTGTTGGTCACCAAGCAGAAGATCGACCGAGACCTGCTGTGCCGCCAGAACCCCAAGTGCTTTATCTCGCTAGAGGTCATGTCCAGCTCAATGGAGATCTGTGTGATTAAGGTGGAGATCAAGGACCTGAACGACAATGCTCCCAGTTTCCCGACCGCACAGATTGAGCTGGAGATCTCTGAGGCAGCCAGTCCCGGCACGCGCATCCCACTGGACAGCGCTTATGATCCGGACTCGGGCAGCTTTGGTGTGCAGACCTATGAGCTCACTCCCAACGAGCTCTTTGGCCTGGAGATAAAGACGCGGGGTGACGGTTCGCGCTTTGCTGAACTCGTGGTGGAGAAGAACCTGGACCGCGAGACACAGTCACATTACAACTTTCGCATCACGGCACTCGACGGAGGCGACCCACCCCGCATGGGCACAGCTGGCCTCAGCATCAAGGTGACTGACTCTAATGACAACAACCCAGTGTTTGGAGAGTCCTCCTACTCAGTGAGTGTGCCTGAAAACTCACCTCCCAATACACCTGTCATCCGCCTAAATGCCAGCGATCCAGATGAGGGCACCAATGGCCAGGTGATCTACTCCTTCTACGGCTATGCCAATGACCACACACGTGAACTTTTCCAAATTGACCCACACAGCGGCCTAGTCACTGTCACCGGAGCGCTAGACTATGAAGAGGGCCAAGTGTACGAGCTAGATGTGCAAGCCAAGGACCTGGGGCCCAATTCTATCCCCGCACATTGCAAAGTCACCGTCAGCATACTGGACACTAACGATAACCCGCCAATTATCAACCTACTGTCGGTCAATAGCGAGCTTGTGGAGGTGAGCGAGAGCGCCCCCCCGGGCTACGTGATTGCCCTGGTTCGGGTGTCTGATCGCGACTCAGGTCTCAATGGACGTGTGCAGTGCCGCTTGCTGGGCAATGTACCCTTTCGTCTGCAGGAGTATGAAAGCTTCTCCACTATCCTTGTTGATGGACGGCTGGATCGCGAGCAGCACGACCAGTACAATCTTACAATCCAGGCTCGAGACAGCGGCGTGCCTACGCTGCAAAGTGCCAAGTCCTTTACTGTGCGCATCACTGATGAGAATGACAACCACCCACACTTCTCCAAGCCTTACTATCAAGTGATTGTACAGGAGAACAACACTCCTGGCGCCTATCTGCTCTCTGTCTCTGCCCGCGACCCCGATGTGGGTCTCAATGGCAGTGTCTCCTACCAAATTGTGCCATCACAGGTGCGAGACATGCCCGTCTTCACCTATGTCTCCATCAATCCCAACTCTGGTGATATCTATGCGCTACGATCCTTCAACCATGAACAGACCAAGGCATTCGAATTCAAGGTGGTGGCCAAGGATGGCGGCTTGCCCTCGCTGCAGAGCAACGCCACAGTGAGGGTCATCATCCTCGACGTCAATGACAATACCCCAGTAATCACCGCCCCACCCCTGATCAATGGCACTGCTGAGATCTATATTCCTCGAAACGCCGGCATAGGCTACTTGGTGACTATAGTTAAGGCAGATGATTATGATGAGGGTGAAAATGGCCGAGTCACCTATGACATGACAGAAGGTGACCGCGGTTTCTTCGAAATAGACCAGGCCAATGGAGAAGTCAGAACCACTCGCACCTTTAATGAAAACTCCAAGCCTTCCTATGAGCTGATAGTGGTGGCCCGTGACCATGGCAAAACGTCTCTTTCTGCCTCTGCCCTTATCCTAATCTACCTGTCCCCGGCTCTTGATGCCCAAGAGTCAATGGGCTCTGTGAACTTATCCCTGATTTTCATTATTGCTCTGGGCTCCATCGCTGGCATCCTCTTTGTCACTATGATATTCGTGGCAATCAAGTGCAAGCGTGAAAACAAAGAGATCCGGACCTACAACTGCAGGTAGAGCCAACTTTTCTTTTGTTTTCTTCTGTGTTTTGAATGAGTAAGGTGTGTGTATTTGTGTCTTTTGTTTCCTGCTTAAATGCATGCAGCATACTCGCAGTGCTTCATTGTGGAGGGTGAAAAGTTTGTGACAGTCCACGTTGATCAATTCTTTTGATCTGACAATTTGCTGGAAGACAATCATTTACTGTTTGAATGGGTTCTGTCACATAATGATGATGAGCAGAAAAGCAATTATCATTTTAAAATTTGCACAGCTGTCTTCCATGAAGTTAAGGTAGAAAAAATGAGAGAGGTGGAGGGAGGGAGAATCCGAGAGTGAGAGAGGAGGGAGGGAGGAGAGGGAGGAAGAGCTAAAGAGAGACAGATTTTCATATTTTTAGCAAAAGTTCTATGTATCATGATTTGAGGGCTTGGTTTTCCTGGAGCACAGTGTTTTGTAGACAAGAGCTGAAGGGAGATGGAGTACTGACAACTGCCTTGTCCTGCTGTGGGGTTATCCTCAAGAGAGAGCTGGGGAGTGAGAGTTTATGATGGGAAAAAGAGAGTAGGAGGAAGAGAGAAAGCAGTGTGTGGGGAAGCAGGTCATTAGTGGTTTTTAGAGTATTCTTGGCTTGTTTTGTATTTAGTCCCTAGACATCTGGCTATACAAGTGAAATTCTGTCAGGCATCTGTATGTTTTCAAATATCTGCTTGGTTGGTGTGTGAAGACCAAACATCCCAATAAGAGACAAGACTGTATCCAGATGTTTCTGTAAAAATAGCAGTCTTCTGGAGTTGGCTATGTTTTTCTCTAATGTGGGGCTGTGCTGTGGTATTAAGATCTGGTCGCTACCAGTGGATGTCACTATGGGCTATTATGTTACAGTTTCTCTGAAGTGTGTGTAGGATGTGTATGGGGGTGGGGAAACTAGAAGAGAGGAGAAGGAAGAGAGGGGAGATCTGTAGAAACTTGAATGGCATGTAATGTAATATTTTTAAAAGTCTTGGTTAACACATTAGAGTTTCTTGTTGAAGATTTCTTGCAATTTGATAGAAGAAATAAGTCTAAGAATTTCTAGAATCCTACTTAGGATAATGCATATAATTCTTTCCAGCAGTGTCTCATCGAAACAGTTGAAAAAGTTATTTTTATTTTCTTTACTTTGCTGAAAGTGAATGGTGCTGCTATTTCCAGCCAAGGTGTGTGTGCTTGTGTGTGTTTGCAGCACACCTCCACAGCTTCTGTATTTTGTGCCATCTGTGCTTGCATGTTAATCAGTCAAAATATGTTCCTGTAGGTCCGATTTGTATCTGACACCATCTGAAATACACACTTCTGTGAATCAGAGCTCCCTGAATATGTAACAGCCATGCAATTATTGTTTCCCTTTTACTATTCTCTGCATTACACAAGTTAGTAGACAAATGCTAACCACACATGAATATCAATCAGGTGCCATAAAAGAGCAGCTGCAATGCCTCATAAATGCTTTAATCCTGTTACTGGTGAAATGGCCGTGACTTTTCTTTCCTTCAGTACCAAGTCACTTCAGATGGGAGAAATGGAAATTAATATTGCTCTTACCTTTGAAACCTGTGACTGCCAATGGTGATTTTTATAGGAGATAAAAAATGCAGGGTCAATAAAATTTTATTTATATGGAGATAATGATAGAGGGGACTCTTTTTAAGCCATTTTCTCAGCATAAAGTAAATGCACAAGACCCTTCCCATGATGAAAAGGAAATCAGCTTGAAATAAAGATATTGAAGGGTTTGCCACTTCTTGGTGATATATGACTAGAAGTAAGAGCTCTTCCTGAGAGCTTGCCAGGGAGATCATTAAACAGGGACGAGAGCATTTGAATTGGGGGAAAAAGTGCAAATCTCAGTGCTCTCCAACTTCACCCAAATGTGGATTTTGTAAAGCACTCTTCACTGCTATGGCTTGCAATTAATGAAGTACAGTTTAATTAAATAATTGGTCAATACAGAATGGGCTGTGCAATGAATGCCTCAGCTGAATAATTGGATGGGGCATTGCCAAACTTACCCATCATGGGTAAACAAAATGATTAGAACTTCCCATTGATTCAGTAAACAGATTAGAAAAGAAATGTAATCCTGATCCTGAGGTTTGGGGGATTTTATCTGTTCCTCAGCCTCTGTATCATCAATTTGCCATCATTTTAAGTCAGACTGGGCAGAGAGCAAAAGGGTGAGGTGAAATAAATTGCTTAGCTCTAGGTAGGTCGCAGGGACGGAGCAATAATTTGCCTTTGTGGACATGGGTAGATATGCAAACTCCCCATCTGCTCAGACTTCTTAGAATCCTAAAGTTCAGGAGCCTGTCTTTCTATGTATGTGGTTAGGCAGGGGTTTCTAGTTCTTTGCTCCTGTAGGATCTCTTCCTGAAATGCATTCATTTATGGGACTTGTGGGATGATCTGCAATTGCTGCTTGAATTGGGTTCTTTTTTTTTCTGACAATTAGCTTTGTTGCGTGAGAATACAGACACACTCTTTCTCATGTAAAGTCCAACCTGTATTATTTATTAACCTTGTTGTTTTGCTGATTATTGCTTAGAGATTGAATTCTTAATAAGCTGAATTTATTATGTGCAAAGTAATACATGACATTGAGATTCTGACTTCATTTTAATGTGTTTCTTTTGACAAGTCTCTTAATGCTTGGTGTCTTTGGTGCACGTTCCTGGGTCTGTGTCAGTGTTAATTAAATTGAGCTTTTTATGTTCCAGTTGCAGCACAGCTGCTTGTAGGTACACCTGAATGGAGAAGGATGCTGAATGCACTAACCTTTAAATTCCTTTGCAGTAATTGTTTAACCATCACTTGTCTCCTCGGCTGTTTTATAAAAGGACAAAACAGCAAGTGTCTGCATTGCGTCTCGGTTTCTCCCATTAGCGAGCAGCAAGACAAAAAGGCAGAGGAGAAAGTGAGCCTAAGGGGAAAGAGGTAAAAAGGCTTTACCCCTCATTCAAATGGGCTTGGCTATCAGATTTCTCTAGGAGCGGAGGGGGAAGGGAGGAAAGTAGAAGGGAGCTGGGCTAAGGCAGGGAGGAGGGTGTGGATGAGCAGAGCTAGGAGCTGTTGGAGGACAGGGTCTGAACCTCTACCCTAGTCTAAAAGTGATCAGTTTAATCGTAGAGGAAGCTGATCCACGATGTTTGCCACACTGCAAATTCCTAGAGGCGGTGGCAAGGGGCAAGGGCTTTTCTTACTTCCCTCTATCTCCTTTTATGTTAAATTGGCACTTACTTTTTACTTTGCCCAATATGGCCTCTGGGTTCCTTGGAAGCTTCAGATTGGAGCATTTTCATGCTCTCTCCCATAGGCTCAACTTTCCACATATTCCCCCACCCCTGCTCACTGGCCACTCACAATAAAAAATTCCAAATCTAAAATTTGGAAATTTCTTTGGGAGGGTTGGTGGGAGGTTAGCATATTTACTATGAAGACTTCGTGGCCCTCAGCTTGTTTTTGCATGCAAAAAGCACAGGGAGAAACTCGATGATGTAATGCGCCAGAATAAGGAGCTGGAACAGAGATGGGGTGCAACCCTCTGGGGTGCTTAATGTTTATTCATCAGTATATGGTCTGGGAAGGTGTTATCTATTCCTGCTGCCTTTTCTGTCACATAGAATCGCTGAATACTCCTATGGGCATCAAAAGAAATCAAGTAAGAAGAAAAAAATTAGTAAGAATGACATCCGCCTTGTACCTCGGGATGTGGAGGAAACAGACAAGATGAATGTTGTCAGTTGCTCCTCCCTTACTTCGTCCCTCAACTATTTCGACTACCACCAGCAGACACTGCCCCTGGGCTGCCGTCGCTCTGAGAGCACTTTCCTGAATGTGGAGAACCAGAATACCCGAAACACTACTGCTAGCCACATCTACCACCACTCCTTCAACAGCCAGGGGCCCCAGCAGCCAGATCTGATCATCAATGGTGTGCCCCTGCCTGAGGTGAGTGCAGCTAAGAGCTCTTGTGAGGTCTTCCCAGATCTCCTTTTGAGGCTGCTTGCCCTACCATGGGCCATTCTGGAGGCATATTCCTTGTCTGCGCCTATTTCCATATGCAGTATTTGGTAATAGTGCCTTTTGGGACAAAAGTGATTTAACATAGAGGGCTTTTGTGTAAGGGGTGGGGTTGGGAATCTAAACTCAAATGATCTGAACCTTTACATGCCTTCATAATGTCCCAGCATGGTAAAATATTGCTCCACCTGTTGCAAGTATGCATGCTCAAAAGCCAGTGGCACCAGCTTAGAGACTAAAGCAGCTTCGGCTTGCCAAGCAGTGTTGAAAATGACTGAAACCCTATAATGCTTCAACTCCAATTTCCTCTGGTGGTTCAGAGTCCTAAAGCCACTCCCACGTTTGCTTTTTCTCTTCTCATACTACTGTTCTCTACCATCTTGCTGAGTCTATGGCTAAAAGGATACGAGCAATTAAATTTAAAAAGTCACATTGCCGTTTTTTAGCAGTTCTGGTCATATCGTTTGACAGTTGAGGATGTTGAAATTGTCACTAATATGAACAATTGTGTGAAGTAGTCATGAATTTAAATCAATTGTTTCTCTTCAGTTTGGGTGATTTCATGGAGGAATTTAAAAAAAAAACACAATAAGGCCAAGTATTTGTTGGTTGTTGAACTCTTTTGGTAGAGCAGGGTGATAGCCAGTGATAGTATAAGGGCCAGAAAGAGGGGGAGCTGAGTAGAAGGCTAAAAACAAGTCCTTAAGTTGGTTTCATTTTCTGTGAATTGGGTAGAAATTTGATACACTGGGAGCCATGCTCTCCTTCTGGTCATTACAAAAGCGATTTCATAGATTTCAAGTGCATCCCAACAGTTTTCCTGTGTACCAGTACAAGCACCATCTCATTAAGAACTCGCAATCAGATATCTTGATAGATTTCTCTTTGGTGGAAGATGAAACAAAGGTTCAGAGGTACTGAGGAACTTGTTCAGCCTCCAAGAAAAGATCACACAGAAAGGAGGAGTAGAACACCTTGCTCTGTACTTCTTGGTGTTTGAGTGGTACTTTCTGCCTTTAGGAACGATTCACACTGACATACCTAGGCAATGGTATGAACATAAAATGGACTTAGTGTTTGTATTAGTTTTGTATGGCAAAGGGTGCTTAGGACCATTTGCATTGCTACATTGTGTCTCCTAGTTCCTGAAAAATGGTTCCTACCAGAATTAATAGCATGGAAAAGCAGTATTTTTAATGAGAAACTCATAATAATCCACTGTCAAGAAAAGCACCAGCATTTAAAGTACCTAATTCCATAAACAACGAGTTATTGAAAGTCTAGTATTATTTCATGTGAACTTACTTCTAAGTATTAATGATTTAATGACCCTTAATACTGCTAGGGCCTCAGTCATACACTGCTTGGGGAGACACTGTGGACCACTAATAGTTCAGTCACAGAGACTGAGGGGTAAGGGTTTGTAGTGGAATCAAAGAGACCAAGATTTTGAGTCCAGGAGTCACCCTTTACCATGCAACCTCACTGAGTCTTTGTTTCCTTAGCTAAAAAAAAGTCAGTACATCTATTATTGAAAGTTTTTCCAAGGAAAAATAAAGCGTTATGAATTGTAAAGAGTGTCTGTGGTTAATGGGTGTCTGTAAAAAGGTAGAATTTTTTACTTGAAAATTGGAGATTCACCATTGGCAACAGGCTATTCACTTGCATCTGTCTTTCCAGGCTCTTATAACCAAAGAGGAATTTAGGCTGGCTCTGTGTAATTAATACCTACAAGGTGGTGTAACCAGACCATTGATTCATAGTGATCATTGAACAATGAAGATAAAAAATACTACTATTGATATCCCATTGCTGGTTTGCTATTGCTCAGGGAAATGGACAAAGAAGTATTGAATCCTGAAGATTTAGTGATTATTTTATAATCAATTCAAGTTCCTGAGAAAAGGGAGCCATGATGTCTATTGAATATGTGGAAGAAGCAGGAGATAGTAACTACGATTTCTGGTTCGCTTAGTATCGTGGTGTCCTTTTTGAGTTTCTCCTAAGGATCAGATAAAACAATTTTAGAAAGCTAAAGTCTCAGTTCTGTTGCTTTCCCTGACCCTCAAAGCCAGCTATTCTTTGTCCAAAAAAATTGAACAGATCTGGTATGTGGGGTTAGACTGAGGTTACATGTGCATTTCCAGTACATAGACCTGGAGGGCTCATAGCCAAGCATCCACCAAGATATTTAACCTGTATCCACCATGAAGCTTTGAATAGGGAAAAATGACACGTCCTTTCTTTCAAACAAGAAGCCACTCAACATTGACAGGAAGAACAGGAATGATTGGTGCATTTATTCAACTGATATTTGTTGAGTGCATGTTCCTTGTAAGGTTCCTTATAGGGTCTGTAGTTCCAGAGACCAGACCAAACCAAACCAAACCAACAATGAATGCAATGAATTCACATTATAACAAGGTCAACATGCAAAAAGGTAGTTTGCAATATGGGATATTAAATGCTGCTATATTGTGCAGTAAGATTCCTAGAATAATAATGTTCTGATATATGTCCTACCTTTACACTTTCCTCATTAATTGACTAATCCATTCAAGAAACAATTCACTTATTAAGCAATTATAGTACTGAGTGATAAGTGCTATAATGTAACAAGTAGATGATTCTTAAGTCATGACACTAAAATTATCTTTTATATTATTTCATGAAACCATTTTTGTTTGTTCATTAACTCAACCAACTAGCTTTATTGTATGGTTTGACTTTGTCAAATACTGTATCTGCTGTTTGCTAGTGATGCAAAGATAAAACACTTGATCTTTGCCTTTAGGCAGCTTAAGAGAAACAGATAAACAATACAATTTCAATTCTGGACGATGTTCATCTCCTAAGCATATGTGACATTCTTACTCTTCAGATTGGGACCAAAGGTGACTTTATATTAGATTCTTCTGCTGTGTTACCTTTTATGACATACACTCCCTTTATTATTTCTATGGTAATAGGGCTCATTTGACATAGTAGTTAGACAAGTAAGTAGACTCAGAACTACTGTGCTTGCCCCTTGCTGCTTCTACTCCACCAACATAGAAATGGATCACCATTTCATAAAATCACTAAGTGTTTTTGTAAGGCACAGTGTCCCCGCTGTGTAGTAGGTAGCTTGGAGATTCCAAATAAGTGTAAGAGGAAAGAAACTTCTGCCCTCAGAGAGTTCACAATTTAGCTAGGGAACCAACATCACTCAAAGGATTCAACCGCCAAGCAGGCATCAAAAAGATAGCTATGACCACTTGTTCTTTTGTATGCTTTTTAGTACTTCTCCTTCCAAAGCAAGCCTTATATTATTTTTTATGTAAATTAGATGCTGAGCTATCTAGGCTTGGTGCTGAATTGATTCAGGCTTTTTTTGGGTGGTGGGGCTCAAACCAAGACCTATGTGAATGTTAGCTGGTGTTCTGCCACTAATTGTCCTGAGGGTGACTTTTTCATCCATATGCCTGGTTACCTTTGAAAGTTGTCAGGTCTAAGGACATGGAAAAAGGAATATAAATGTGGTTAGGTAGGTTAGGTAAAGGGAGTAGAGCACTTGTCTAGAGAATTGGAACTTAGCTTCTTGCACTTCATAGATAGCCTCCTACAGAATGGGATATGAATACTTTCCCATCCTCTGCTGTTGCTTGGGATGCCAGCTATGGCAATGTTATGGTTTTGTATGCGAATATGAGGAGGTAAAGTGGAAGGTATCTTTGCTATTTGCAGAAGATTTTTTTTTTTTTTTTTTTTTTAGAATTAGTGATGTTGTGCACCTTTGAAGTATTTTAACTTGGAAGGTGAGATTCACATTCCTTGGCATCCTGGTTTATTTAGTTTATCAACTTTATGTGAGAATGAGGTGTGTGTGTGCATGTGTAGAAGACAGAAGAAAAAAGAAGGAGGTTGAAAAAGAAGAAAGATATTGGATTTGTTAGTTTGTTAATGTTTTTCTGAAAAATATGTAAATTTATTCTGTGAATCCCTTAATGCGCCGTGTTTTGTTTTCTTCTGATATTACGTGGATGTAAGCATGAATAGTGAATGCTTTTGGGTTCTAGAAAATATTATTCCTTTGCACATTGACATTCTTTTATTCCCTTTTTGGTCAGTAGTGGCTCTGGTCAATAGAGGGAGCAAATAGACCTCGTGTTTTTCCTATGAAGAATGGAGATTTGGGTAGAGTCTGTCTGTTTTTTGCTTTCAGGGCAGGTGAGGTGGTCCAAATAGATCTAACTTTTGTGAGATGCTTTAACTGTTTAGTTTCTGATGCTGAATGATTTGGAGCTGCCAATTGTGTGTGGTGCATAGTACACAAACTTCCAAAGCTCCCACATAGATTCACAGGGGTTCTGTTCCATTTCGACTTACCCACAACCTTCAATTTTCTCCTTGAGTTTTAGGTTTAAACCATTTCCTGGCAAAATATTGCATCTTTGGTGTGAAACATCCAAATTGTGTGTTTGTGTGCGCTTGCTTTACATAAGTTATTGGCGTAACAGCTATATAAGTAGTAATGTAGCAGAGGAAGAATCTGAAGAACAAGGATATGTGTGACAGGTGGGAATGGATGCTCCCAGCTATTCTGCAAAAATGTTTGAGTGCATGGCTATGTTATGGAAAATACAGAGAATAAAACATCATTTAGGCCTTGAAGGAAAACAAAAGAAATAGCTCAGCATGCTTTGTTCCTTCAAACAAATAAGTTAGGGATTTGTAATGAGTTGAGAAAAATTTTGGGCTGTTGATAACCAGAAGCCAGTCAAGACAGACAACAGATCCAGAAAAGCAATAGAAACCTGGTACCGATGATGAAGCTAGTTGTAAGTATGGATACTGCACAGTATCACTTGCAGTTAAAGCAAACCAACAAACCTTTCCTCCAGTGAACTTAGTTTTTTAAAAAACGCTTCCTTGTTAGGGTATCTTGG